CCCGTAGTCACTTCTCCATCCTGTCCCCTGGCCCTCTCAGCAGTGGCTGCCACAGTCTATCACGCCCTTGTTCTGGAATAACTTTTCTTGTTGATGCTCTGACCAGATGCCCACTTAATACCCCAGTTCTCTCTCCCCCTCTGAGTTCTCCTTGGCCTAGTGAGCATCCACCACACTCGGCCTAAACTCTCAGTGCTGCCTCGGCTCCACAGCTGTGCTCCCCATCGGAAGGACGCCAGCCACACTCTCTCCTGAGCGCCAGCATCTCATGCCCAGCATGCCCACAGGTCCAAGCCTGCTCTTCCCGCTGCCTCCATCTCTGTGAATTCCTCCAGCCCTGGTCCATTCTAGTTTCAGATAACCGGCCATTTGTCCTCTCTGCTCTCCTGTCTCCTCAGCCCACATCCAGGTTCTCGCTGCAAAATTGCTGATATCAAAACAATTTCATCAAAATGTAAAACCTGCTTTTATTACCAATCCCTGCCCTAGTTTTGGAGGACTTTGTTACTTGGATTATTTTTTTAAGAGTGTTTTATCTTTATAATCAGAAAAAAAACAGTAAGGACAGTCAGGAGCCTGACAGCCTGGCTGAGCTTCTAAGGTGGCCTCAACACTCTGTCCCCCAAAGCCACCCGGGAGAGGAATTCTACAGCATTCAGTCACAGCTGGCTGTGGCACCGAGCGTCTCGGGAGAAATTAGAGGAGCCGTTGATGATTCCAGGGTGAAATGAGCACAGGATTAGGGTTAGAGTACCAACCAAAGAATGTTGGCAGAGTTGGGATTCTCAGAAGGAAGCATTCCTGTTTTCTATAGTCCAGACATTATTGATTGTCTGCTGTACCCAGGTCAGGGGGGAAATTGAGCATTTATCTGTAATATCCTGTATTTTTAATATCTTTTCATATCTACCACTGTTTATTATAAAACAAACATATTCAGAATTTCTAATAGGATAAAAAAATATGCCAGTAGAAGTTCTGTTCTCTTCCTGTCCTACAATGAACCATCTACGCAATAGCCTGTGCAGCTGACTGGGAGCCCCTGGCGAGGGCCGTCCTTCTGACTTCACAGTAGCACGTGAGGTGCAGATTTGAGGACCCCACCCCCGGAGAGTATGTCAGGCCCCCAGGCCTGGGCATCTGTATTTTTAATCAGCTGCCCTAGGGGTCTTGATGCCAGTTATTCTTTGGACTTGCCTTAGGAATCCTTCCTCTAGAGCAGTGGTTCTCAACCTTCCTAATGCCACGACCCTTTAATACAGTTCCTCGTGTTGTGGTGACCCCCAACCATAAAATTATTTTCGTGGCTACTTCATAACTGTAATTTTGCTACTGTTATGAATCGTAATGTAAATATCTGATATGCAGGATGTATTTTCATCATTACAAATTGAACATAATTAAAGCATAGTGATTAATCACAAAAACGATATGTAATTATATATGTGTTTTACGATGGTCTTAGGCGACCCCTGAAGGGGTCGCGACCCACAGGTTGAGAACCGCTGCTCTAGAGTTTCAAGTGAAAGAGAAGAAACAGAACACTACCAGCAGGCTTTAACAGGAAGTATTTAAGTATACTTTGGGGAGAAATCTATAACTCTGAGCCTCACCTCGTCTGGCATCTTCTTACCTGAAGAAGTTGGGTTTAAGTGTGAGAAAACTCCAGAATGGAATGTTTTCGAAAATTTCAAAAAGCTGGACCTTGACCGATCCGTTTTTAAAGTAGATATATTGACTGGTTTGTTTTAAGGCCTCCAGAGTAGCCATGAATCCATCCCCTTCTTTTCATCCCCACTGACTCCACGCACTTTAGGTCCTGTGACCGCCAGGAAGAAAACAGACTGGGATACAAGGAGGTAATGTTGGACTGCGCGTATGCCGGACAGGGAAGGCCTCTGGAGGTGATGTGAGCCCAGCCTTGGGGGAAGAGTAGAGTGTGCACCAAGGCTCCAAGGCAGACGTGGGCTGGACACAGACAGAAGTGCCTGGAGGTGGGGCAGCCCTGGAGGCCTGTTGGGACCGGGCCCTGAGGTGACTGGATCAGACCGAACAGGCTCTGGGCTGTGCTTTTTCACTGTGGCAGGAAGGAAGCTATATTTGTTTCCCGGGGCGACTGTAACAAAGTACTACAAACTAGAGGCCAGAAGTCGCTGAGCTGAGTCCTGCACCGGCTCCAGGGGGTCTGTTCCGGGCCTCTCTCCTAGCTGCTGGGCCGCCCTGACGTGGAGACCCATGACCCCAGCCTCCGCCGTGTCCTGTGGCATTCTCCCTGTGCGTGCGGCCCATCACGTGGCCTTGCACAAGGACTTAGTGGCGTTAGGGCTCACTCATCTCCAGGATGACCTCATCTTAACTAATTACATCTGAGGTTCCGCACAGACGCCGTCGAAGGATTTGCACTTTCAGAAGATTGCTCTGGATGGGCAGAGGGGTCCAACTGAAGATGATGGGGGTGACTACGCGGCGAGGGGGCTGAGGCAAGGGTTCGCGCCCCCAGGAAGGACCGATGGGCATGCTGACAGATCGGCGAGGGGGCAGATGAGGAGGAGCCGGGTCATTAAGGGCCCCAGCATTTACACACCACCATCAAAATCTCTGCACAGCTCTGCTTGGCCTGACTCAGCGAGGCCTCAAAGCCTCACTCTCTAGCCACAAGGCCTCGCTCTGCCCCTCCCCCGGCTGGCCTTTCCCTGGATTCCTGTCCCCAGCCTGTCTCCCTCTCTGTGATCAGACCCCTCCCTGCCTAGCTGCCCCTTTCTCCAAGAAGCCTTCCTCATCCTCTCCAAGTCTGGTTCAGGGCCGCCTGGTCCTGTCAGTACTTGGTCAGCATCTGTCTGCCCAACTGGGCTACAAATCCTGAGAAGAAAGGGACCCAGATGGCATTGCTCACTGCTGAGCCCAGGACCCAGCACCACGGGAGTTTCCAGAGCCACAGCCTGTGCTCAGAGCCGTGTGGGAGGAGGTGGGTTGGCAGGAGGTCCTGAGGAGGTCAGGCTGGGCCCCTGCTGGCCACTAGGATGGCCTGGTGCTCCCTGTCTGTCCTGGGTGCACTCACCAGTGCGAGTGCCACCAAGAGTCTTCCTGCAAGGCCAGGACGGGAGCAGGCATGCTGGGACCTCTTTCACAACTAGGCCCAGGAGGGACATGAGGATGCTCGTGTGTACAGCGAGGACTGATCACGGCCACCCCAGGCCAGGAGAATGGTGCCCATGACAACAGTCCGGGGGCTCTAAAACCCACAGATCATCCCAGGCAGCTTAAGGACATGCAGCCTGACCTGGAAGATGGAACCCAACTGGAGACAGTACTAGTTTTAGCTGGAAAGACCCTGGTGGGACCCAGAATTTCAGCTCAGCAGCCCCTGGCCAGTCCCTGCCACTGGAAGTTCTGACCTAAACTGAAGATGACACCACAACAAGGAAGTGTTTCGGGGAGGGGGCCTGGTCTTGGCCCAGGGAGCAGCCGGTGAGGATGGGCACGCTGGAGCAAGTCGTCACATGAACAGAGAGCAAAAATGGCCCGTCCTTCAGGTGCTTCCAGGCCAGTGCAAGAGGCTCTTCCTCGCTGGCCCTCGGAGGCCAGGGGCCCCGCCCCGCCCTGTGAGGAGTTCTGTCTCTGGCTGAGCACATGCCTGTGGACGTGGGGGCCTCGGCCAGTGCAGGCGTGGGCCTGGCTCAGGTCCCAGAGCAGCAAGGAGACCCAGGTGGGTTGGAGGCTGCCTGCTCGAAGCTGTTGTGCTGGGTTCTCTCACTCCATGCTCCATGGCCCTTCGTGTCTCGGGATAGGAGGTGGCTTTTCTATGGCTGAAGAGTTTCTTTGGTGGGAAAGAGGCCTTGGACAGGAGGCAGAGGGATGGGCTTGGTGCCCTCGCGAGGCCCAGTGAGCCTCGGTGCACTGTGAATATAGGGGTGAGGGCTGTGTTAGAAGGGCCTCGGGCAGCAGTGTTGCTGACTCAGCCAGGAAGGCGGAGTCACCAGCCTGAGCTACCTAGATGCTCTCTGTCACTGGCTCAGCCAGGGCCACAGGGTCAAGACTGTGCTCGGCCCATGTTTTGTATCAGGGAATTGTGGCTCAGGGCTAAGGACACTCGGGGTCCGGGAATTGATTCCCAGATGTCCCGGGCAGGTTAGGCAGTGGTGGCCCCCAGAGCCGGAAGGTCAGGGGTGGTCGCCCTTGAGTAAGGTGGGAAATGTCTCTTGTGTTTCCTCAGGTTAGAAATCTGTGCTACATGGTGACAAGGCGGGAGAGAACGAAACACGCCATCTGCAAACTCCAGGAGCAGATATTCCACCTGCAGATGAAACTTATTGAACAGGATCTGTGTCGAGGTAGGCGCCTTCCCTGCCCAACACCAGCCACCTCAGTGTGCACACACACTCAAGGGGTTGGGTCCCAAGAAGGGTGTGTCTATGGAGCCTGGTTTGGGGCATGTGCATGGGGCCCGGGGCCACCGGCCCCCACCCCTACCCTCCATCATTCAGTAACGGCCGAGAGGGGGACCTCCCCAGGGTCCCAGGTATGTATTGTTAGGCAAGGAGCCAGAGGTTGGAGTGTGGGCATCAGGCCTGCCCTCTGAGAGCGTTCTTATCCACTAGGGACACCAGGTAGTGCCAGGGCCACAGTGGTTCAGTAGTAAATTGCATGTGAACAGGTGTGGACCAGAGGTCCTAGTGGCTGTGCGCTGGTGCTGTGGCAGGAAGGGCCCGAAGCCGGCGAGATTGCCTGACCCATGTGCCTGAGTGTTGAACCTGAAGAAAGCAGCTGCCCAGTGATGGAAGAGATCCTTTTACTCTGGTCTCAGAGGATTGGATTCAGGCCCTGTGCCAGAAGCTATTCCCTCTTATTTCTTACTCTCCTGCATCACATGCATTTAATAGATTTGGAAATCAAAGGCCAAAGAAGCTCTGGCTTTGCTTTTATCTGTTAGTTGTGTGGATATTGCCAGACACAGGGCTCTTCCTGGAGTCTTCACATGTTAAGGAGGGCAGTGCTTGACCCCCTGGGCGGCCACTGCCGGCTCAGCCTCTGGGTTAGGCTGGGCCTGGAGTGGACAGAGAAGAGAGCTGCCAGGCCACCACCGGAGCCGATGACTGAGGGCTGGCCACCCCTGCCTGACAGCCAAGCTGCCTCATCTGCACTTTGGAATCACCACCCACTCTGGCCCAAAAAACCAGGAGTGCCAAGTAAAGACGGTGGGTCACAGCCATGCAGAGCTCAGAGCTCGCCGTGCACCCTCAAGGCTATGGCAGCTCCCTGGCGCCCAGAGTGGTCCCCGGCTCCCCCTCATCCGTGATTGGTTCCGTGAGCACTAACTGAGCGTGGACGGAGGCCAGGCGCTGTGCTGGGTATTGCGGGCACACTGCTGTGGGCTGAACGGACAAGGTCCCGCCCTTGTGGAGCTCACCACCTGGGAAGACAAAGGGAAGTGGTGGCCAGGGGGCGGCAGTGGTGCTGGTGCAGGGACAGCTGTGAGGGAGGCTTCACAGCGACAGTGGATCCGCAGCAGCCTCGGGCTTCCTGGGGCCGCACCGTGAGCACCTCCAGCCGCAGGAGCAACGCGGCCGAGGCAGCAGAGTGGCACAGCCTGCAGTACCCGAGGCACCGGGTTCCAGAAACATGTTCAAGAGTCGCAACATTTGCAGCTCCCGGGTCTGAGTGGCCACAACAGGCAGCCCTTGTTCCGGGCAGAGGACTGGTTTGCCGCTGCCCGAAGCTGATGCCCTCCGTGTTGTGCGCTTGACCCCTGGCGTGGGACGTGGGCTACAGGCATATTGCCAAGGCCTGTCTGGCCAGAGGGCTTGAGAAGGCTTCCCGGTGGCAGTGGTATTTATTGAGGCTGGAGCTGAACCAGGTGAAGGCCAGGACAAGGAAGGAGTGTTTTTGGAGACCCAGAGACCAGAGCTTATCTTGTTAGAGAAACTGGAAGGAAGCTGTTGGTATCAGTGCGATTAGAGCAGGAGGAAGATGTCCAAAGTGAGGCCGAGGGGTTGTCAAGGTTGACCAGGCAAGGTCTTGTGACCCTCAGAAGGAGCTCAGACTAGCTGCGGACAGTGGGGGCCTCAGAAGCCTGCCCTCACAGTGTATGGGCACTGGTCCCATGTTATAGATGTGGAGACTGAGGCCCAGCAGGAGGTGCACAGGGAATCAGCAGCCAAGCTGGGAAAATTACAGAGCTGGGACCACACCCCCCAACATTTTCTTAAATCCTTATTTAGGAAGCCCTCTGGCCTGCAGTTGAGAAGCTGGGAGAATATTCCTGGCAGCTGGGCCTCCCCCTCCATAGGTCCCTCCCTGCTTGGGTGTTTTCTATGGCTCCTTAGACCCGTATGGTCATGGACTGAAGGGGTATGAAGGTTAGGTGTGCGGCCAGGTCTCCCATCTCCTGTCTGACCTCAAAAGCAGACCAGGAGACCAACTCGAGGGACTAACCAAAACCTCTTGACTCCTCAGATAGTGTTCTGTCCACCTTCATGTCCAGCTCCTTGGCCTAGCATTCAAGACCCTGCCCTGTCCACTCACCTCCAGCCAGCCTTCCACCCACTTCAAGGCCCTGCGCCCTCCCCAAACCCGGCCAGAGCAGCGGTGGGCAGTGACCACACTCTCCCACACCGCCTGCCCCTGGACTCACAGGAGCCGCAGTTCTCCAAGCCCCCAAGGCTCTGAGCCTGGGGTACAGAGCAGGGCAAGGCGACCGGGATGGTGAGGCACCCGGTGAGGAGGGACTCCTGGGGTGGTACGCAGTGACCTTGGTTCTGGCCGAGGCAGTCTGGGATAACCACCTGCTCTCTCTCTCCCCGGTGCAGAGCGGTCTGGGCGGAGACCAAAGGGCAAGAAGAACGACTCGAAAAGGAAAAGCCGTGAGGGCCCAAAGGGCAGCCCTGAGAAGAAAGAGAAAATGAAGGCGGGGCCCGACTCAGTCCTGGGGCAGCTGGGTAAGGGGCCATGCTGGCCTGGCAGACCGGCAGGGCTCACACCATCCCTCCCCTTGCAGCCCCCATATGAGGCCGGCTGGGACCATCAGCACCCACTGCACAGAGCGGAGGCCTTCTTTGCCCAGGCACTCCACCTCCTGGCCATAAAAGAGACTAGGGTTTCGGAGCCCGGGTGCCATCCGAGAAATTCCCCTTTTGTAGACCTGGAGGCTGTGTCCAGGAGCTCAGGAACTGACTGCTCATTCCACTGCTCATTCCCTGGGGGCCCTGAAGGGACCTAGGCCACCTGGCCCTTCTGGGAGCCACCGCCGTGCTGGGAGGTGTGGGCCCAGGGTTCTCCATCCTTGTCCCACTCGGCCAGAACCTTTCAATGGCCCTCTCTTCAGTACCAGTGACCTTCATGACAGAGACCCAAAGGAGTGGCCAAGGCACTGGCCCAACCCGTCTTCTCTGTCACAGACTGTACGGCTACCCCGTAATGAAGGGACCTCAGCAGTGGGCTTTGTCTCCCAGGATGTCACATGCTCCCCCAGAGCACTTCTCAGGGATGGCAGTGGAGTCCCCTTCTAGGCCTCACTTCCAGCACAGAAGCCCCAGGTCGTCTCTTATCTCCCTCCGTCTCAGGAAGGGGACAAGTTGGGTGTCTAATGGGAGGCTAGTCTCACTAGCTGTTCCGAGACCTGAGGAAGGAGGGGTTGGCCTATAGCTAGAGCAGGCGCTGACATCCAAGAGAGGTCTTATACCCTGAAACATTGCCACCTTATTCATGCCTGACATCCTTACCCAACTTCCTTGTTTTGGAAGCTCTGGGAGGCAATGTGCATAGAAATCCAGCGCCCCCTGGTGGCCTGAGGGCATTTCCCCCCATTCCTCCGCTCCCTGCACCTCATGGGTGTGCAGGGCCAAAGGCCCTTGCTTGTTTTAATATTCTCCTGTGGCCACCTGAAAATTCTCAATAATAATTTTTGAACAGGGAGCCTGCAAAGCCTGCTGGGGAGGGTCAGAAAGGGATTCCAGAGAGGGTGGGACTGACACCTGCTGGCATCTCATCTTCCTCCTCTCTCCCCTCCGCCAGGCCTGTCCACCCCGTTCCCCATCGACGGCACCTTCTTCAACAGCTGGCTGGCGCAGTCGGTGCAGATCACAGCGGAGAACATGGCCATGAGCGAATGGTCACTGAATAATGGGCACCGCGAGGACCCTGCGCCCGGGCTGCTGTCGGAGGAGCTGCTGCAAGACGAGGAGACGCTGCTAAGCTTCATGCGGGACCCCTCACTGCGACCCGGCGACCCAGCCAGGAAGGCCCGTGGCCGCGCCACCCGCCTGCCTGCCAAGAAGAAGCCACCACAGGATGGGCCTGGTTCACGGACGACTCCGGACAAACCCCCCAAGAAGCCCTGGGGCCAGGATGCAGGTGGCGGCAAGGGGGGTCCAGGTCAAGGACCACCTGCCAGGAAACCTCCACGGCGAACACCTTCGCACCTGCCGTCCAGTCCTACAGCCGGGGACTGTCCCATCCCCGCAGCTCCCAAGAGCCCCCCACCGCTGGCCCCTGACACCCCCGACGAGGCCGCCCCCATGGCTGCCGACTCGAATGTCCAAGTGCCTGGCCCAATGGCAAGCCTCAAGCCCTCAGGCCGGCTGCGGCAGTCCCGCGAGAGCAAGGGGACCCGGAGGTCATCGGGTGCCAGGCCTGATGCCGGGACAGGACCTCCTCCTGCTGTGGCCGAGAGGCCAAAGGTCAGCTTACACTTTGACCCTGAGACTGATGGCTTCTTCTCTGATAGGGAGATGAGCGACTCAGACGTGGAGGCTAAGGACAGGGGGGGACAGCGGGGTCCCCGGGAAGCAGGGGCTGAGGAGGTGGTCCGCATGGGGGTTTTGGCCTCCTAAGTCACCCCTACCCCCGTCTCAGGCCCTGCCCTAGTCCCCCACGAGGCCTCAGCCCAGTCACAACTGCCATTTCCAATCTGCTGAGTGTCCCAGACTCTCAAGGCTGCCACTCCGTTGTGGTTTTATTTTTAATACAGAGAGAGTTCCGAATTCTACACTGTTGTCTTTCCTCTGTGCTGGCCTAGGACATTAGGATTCCTCCCACAGCTCTGGCTGCAAGGACCGGGCCAAGTCCTGTGCAGCACCCATGTGGCGGCGGCAGCCCCGCCCGGCGTCGCTGGGCTCCCGGCTAGACGCAGACAAGGTGAAGGAGAGCTCAGGACGCCAGCCCGCTGCCACTGGGTGACACAGAATGTCGTTTGGGCATTATTTCATGGCAGATGGGCCAGCCCAGGGCCTGCCCACCTTGCCCTCAAATTCCACTGGAGTCCATTTGGGGGGTCCTGCTGCACTCCACTGATCCCCAAGGAAGTCTATCATAAGTGATACCCAGCCAGAGTCTACTCACTGTCACAAGCACAACGAGCTTACATGAGAAAGCACTGAGGGGGCGCGGAGGGCCCTGCTGGTTCCAGGGGAACCGCAACCGCCCTTGTCAACCCACATCAAAGGCCTGCCCACCCACCCCGCGACCCTCCACTCCCTTGCTGCTCGGCCCCTGCCAGTGCCCAGCCCTGCAGCCCCAGGAAGGGGTTTCCAGAATCCTTCCTGAGCTGTGCCACTTACTCAGGGGACTCCCAGGCAGCCAGCCACCAGTGCCAGTGGAGGGCTGCCAGGGAGGGCCAGTGCCCAGACGGGGGCGTGGGCTCAGACTTGCCCGCTGCAGAGAATCGCTCCGAGCTCCAACTTCCTTCCTTCCGTCGGAGCCAGTCTCGGCCAAAGTCTGGTCACTCCCAGACAGCTGACCAGGCCGTTCGCCTTTTCAGGTTTCCCAGTCCTGCTAAGAGATGAGCTGCTTCCTCGGTTTCCTTCTGGAAACTCCTTCCAACTAGCAGTGGGATCCCGGGGCCCAGGCGGCCGCCTTGGCTGCTGGGGCTGTTTTAAGTCTTGCTGGAGGCTCCTGGTTCCTCTCCCTGTGAGCCTTAACCCCCTTTCCCAACTGTGCCCTCCCTCCCCGCCACCCACCCGCCTCTCCTCCCCTCCCCTCCCCTCGAGGTCCAGGTAGCTGGTCTGAAGAGTTTCCGTGGAGTGGCCCCAGGGTGATAGCTCAGGGAACAAACAAAAAAGGAATTCAGTGAAAACGTGTGTTTTTTTCATTTGTGAATTACTCCTGGGTCACTTCCGCCACTGGTAAAGCCAGAACTTCTCCAACAAGAACCTTGCAAAAGCCCAGTGACAGTCGAATCATTCTGTGGATGCCAAAGAATATTTTGACCATAACACAGCACAGCCTGGACCGAGCACCCTGTCACTTGGACTTTTTTTAATGGAGGTCTTTAGCAACAGCTTACAGGAACATGTTCCTTGCACACACCCAAGGAGACCAGCTCGAGCTCTTGGAAGAGGATGCTGTTCTGCTGCCCGACTGTGGAAACCGGAACCAGGTGTTGGATTTCAAACCCTGGACTGGGCCCACCGTGAGCTTTCAGGAACAGCCGCACAGTGGGGAGGAACACGCGGGAAACCGGCCAGGCCCGAGTCCTGACCGAGAGGTTCCCCCGTGCGAATGAACACCCGGCGCAATTCGGGGATCGAAGCAGCCTGACCACTCGCCCCCGACTCCAAAACTCCCGAGGTACGACAGTGGCGTTGTCATTGACACTCAGCTTTATGTGAATTTTAGCAAAACAGGAAACAAAGATGATGACTCAGTTCAGGGGATCGGACAAATGTGTCCGGTTGGAATGGACTCAGCAGGCTTCAAGGACTCTGGGCGTTGGGATGGCATGAGCTACCACGTAGTTTAGTCTGCCTGCCACCTGGGTAGCAGTGGCCAGTGCAGTGTCAGCAGCAGCGTCCCAACCCCGTTCTCTGTTTACTGCCTTTGAACAGACCTCCTTCCTCCCCCGTGCTTCACGTCACAGCCTTGTCTGTGCTGGATTGCTCAGTCTGACCTCGCAGGAAGCAAGGGATGAGCTTAAAGAACAACCAAACTTTCCCTCGGGTGAGGGGACTAGGGTGGCAGGAATGGCTTAGGTCCAGGAAACTCAGCACTTGCCCCCTGACCCCTTCACCCATCCTGAGGCAGGGTCTGGGCCCCCTGGAGGCAGGAGAGAACCTGGGAGGGAGTACGGGGCAGCTGGCACTCTTCAGGGGCCTCTGCTCAGGCTGGCTCTGGGTTCTGGCCCTCTTCTCTCCTGGATCTTGCTTTGTTTGGGCAGATTATCGCTGGGGCATGGTGTCTGGTTAGGCTGGTGGAGGCCCCTCCCAGGCCAGACCAGGCCCTAACCTCCCCTCACCAGGCAGCTGCCCACCTTCAGGATGTCCACCTGCTGCTGCAAGGACGAGGATGCCGGTGTCCACTTCTTCCCTCCATTAGCCACGGCCCCTTCACTCTTTGTCCAGCCTCTCTCCATCATGTTGAAGGCCTTGCCACCCCTGAAGTTAAGGTGGGGAGAAGGCAGACGAGAAGAGGCCTTTCCAGGCCAGAGGCTGGGGCAGATCTTGCCCTCGCCCACACTGCCCACACTCACTGGCCCTCAGGTAGGGAGAAGCTGCTGTCACTCATCCTGGCCGTCATCCTCATTTCCCAGGCCCAGCTGCCCACCGTCCCCTCCCCCCTCATCACAGTGAGAAAGGATAATGTGCAAGGGAAGTATTTTTATGGATCATAAATGTATTTTACAGCAAATGAGGAGAAAGGTAGAAGGGTTTATTTTATTAAATGAGCACTGACTTGGTGACAGTGCGCGAGAGGCCACCCAGGTTTCCACATGGGGGCTGGACTGTGGCTGTGTCCACGTGCATGCGTGGCCCTGGGCATGGATGGGCACACGATGGGACGTGCTAGGGCAATTCCTAGAGAATCAGCTGCCCAGCTCTAACCGACATGGGCAACAGCTGGACTTGGCCTTCCCTTGCTCACTGCTGGATGTGGCCAACCTCTGCCCATGTCCAAAGCTCTGCAGAATGGTCTGGATGCCTGTGGCAAGGCTCGTGGGGAGGCCACTTCCCATGCCCCTGGCCCAGCTGGCCACATTGGCCAAAGAGCCAGGGCTGGAGTCTGGGACTTTTGGTTGTTCTTTAGGGCACTTCCTGCCACCTTGTCCCTCAGATGCACAACACTCTGTGCTGCACGTCGGCTCGGGGTGGGGGGATGATATGAATGTCACAGGAGGAGACACCTTCTGTCTTTGTTTCAAAGAAAGTGATGTGCCATTTGTTAATATACAAGAGAAATACTGAAAATATATTGAAAAGAGCAATTTTAAATTATTTTTGGCTTATGTTGCAATATTTATTTTCTTGTATTAGAAAAGATTCCTTTGTAGAGAAAAAATGTATTTTTCATTAACGCAAAGACCTATCTCTCCTTTTTGTACATTGTCCGTGTTCGCTACCCTCGATGAGCAATAGGATGTATGGCCGCCCCGGTGTGGCCAGCGCCCACCGTGCCCTGCATGACATGTGTTGCCGCTGCTACGTAGCTTTCAGTCCTATCCTGTCCTGCTCAGTCCTGGGCTTCCAGACCTGGCCACCCCCAGGGCCTGTGTCTCAAGGAGCCCTTTGCACTCCTCATGTGTTGGCAAACGCAGTTAATAAAGCAATGTTTTCTGTGCTGGTCGGTGTGAGGCTTCGTTGCATTGAGTGGGGCAGGGGCCCGAGAGTCCTGTGCGCAGGCTCGACAGTGGCCCAGTGGAACAGCAGTGCTCCCTGGATGTCCCAAGGGGCCTGCTGCTACCCCCTCAGGAAGCATCATAATGATGGTCACCATGACCGCTCTACGAGCCAGCTGTGCTTAAGAGCTGAGTTTCTTTTGCGCCTCACTGTCGTCGTCCCCTAGGATTCGGAGCGGGTGAGGGGTATACCCAAAGCCACGCCTCTGGTAAGAGGGGAAGTCCTACACCACAGGCAGGACTGTTGGAGTCTTGCCACCCCTGTGAGCCACCGGCCTGGGACAGTGGGAAGGTTTGGGAGGGAGCTTAGCAATGTCCCTATACCAGGGAGGAATTTTGCTCAAGTGTGTGTTTCATTCATTATTTTCTGAGCACCAACTCTGCTCCAAGCTCTGGAAAGCGTGGGAAATGTCACTGTCCCTCCCTGGGACAGTGCCCTGGGGCAGCGCACAGTCCAGCAGAAACCCAGACATGAGGGAATGGGAGTCATGGAGGCCTGGGCTGACTTGGGGGGGAGTAACACCATTAATTCATTCAACAATGAATCCATTTGATCACACACCTGGTTCGGCCAGTGCTCTGGGTTGTATACTGTGCATGTCACCAGGGCCTGCCCTCAGAGCTTCCAGGCAATGGGACCTGAAGAATAAACAGTTGCTTGCCCAAAGGGAGCTGGATAGAAGGGAGAGACAAGAAACATTCCTGGTGGAGGACTCGGTCGACACAGGCAAAGACCGGTCAAAGATGCGTGGAGTGGGTCTCACACCTGAGCCCACGGGAGGCTGTGTGGAAAGGGATTGAATTGGGACTCTAGCTTCTGGAGCCGCTGACTTAGTCATTTAAGACAGCAAACTGCCCCACCTCCTAACCAGTGCAATAGGAAGCAGGTCCCCACAGGCATCTCCAGACTCACAAAGTTCTGTGACTCCACAGCATAGGAAATAAACCTGGGGGCTCCTGGGAGGCCCCAGGAGCTGTGATTTGGAGCTGCCCTGGGCTCAGCACCACAGCCTCTCCCTTCGCCCAGGGCCAGCCCGATGCCACAGTGATCCAGTCACGCGAGGTCCCCACCCCTGCAAGACCCGCACCTGACAGCACACCCAGCTGACAGATGTGGGCACCTGTGGGTCGGAAGCAGCCATGCTCAATGGAAATAATGGTACAAGTAAGTGCAGTAGCTACACATTTTTAAAAGTACAGGAAAAATTAATTTTAATTATTTTATTTAACCCATTATATCCCACATATGATCACATAAACATGTAATTAATATAAAACAGTTATTAATACAATATTTTGCATTCTGTTTGTACTGTGGGTGTGCTGCGCTCACACCTCATTTGGATGAGCCACGGTTCAAGCTCAGTAGCCACGTGGCTGACAGCGACTCCATGGCAGCGCAGCCCTGGAGTCGTCAGCTGTGCCTGGGTGGCCTTGGGCTCATATCTGATCGATGCTCCTAGGCCTTCGCTCCTGTCACTGCCTCTGCCGTCCCTGCCCCCTGAGAGCCCCCGAGGACAGGACAAGTGTAGGCCGACCTGGTGGCAGCTTCCCGTGGAGGCCAGTTCTCTGCCGGCAGCTCCCAGGGGGTGTCCACTCACCCACACTTCAGTTGTGCCTGCCTGATTCAGCACTCACTGAGCACCTGCTGCTGGGCCCTGCGGCCCAGGATGACCACAAGCCCCTGTGGAGAGATCAGGCTGGTGTGGGAGACCCTTTGAAAGCTTCATATTTTCTCTCTCTCTCTCTCTCTCTCTCTCTCTCTCTCTCTCTCTCTCTCTATCTCTCTCTCTCTCT